TGAATTTCTTGCGAAGGAAGCTAGTTTTCATATGAAGTCAAATCTGCAACATACAGTAAAACGCGTTCGGTGTTCGCGTTCTGTTTCGCGAAATTTTCGAGAAAAAGGTACATGTAATTCTAGGCGATACTTCACATGACTGTATGGTGGAAACTAGCGGTAAACTAGTGTGAGCTGCATATGTGTCTAAAGAAACACTTGTGTAAAAAGATAAATTTAACACCGTATAAAAATAGTTGAAATAACTTAACGAAGGATTTCCGCAACGTCAGTAAGTTGTTCTACTGTGTTGAATTTACATGACTTTATGCGCAATCTTACATCAAGCCAAGCTAATCACAATGTTTTCTTTTCTCCATTTAAGGGGCGCCGTTTTCTTATGCTGAAAAATCCGTGGAGTCACATGCGTTGGAAGGTAAGTGTACTGACATCAACCTCGTTCTCATGTCCTTTTCCCTTTGTCATTTTCATTCTCACACTGAGCTCAAGTTGTCTGACATGGTAATTCTTGATCGATTTAAGGGGAAATTCTCTGAACGTGACGCTGACAGTTGGACACCAGAGCTTGAACGAGCTTTGCACTACAATAGGAAAAGAGCCTTAGAGTACGATGACGGTAAGCAGAAACAGATCGTTTTGATCGTTCACTTCCTGGATTTGTTCATTTTGGTGAACTTTTACCAATAGACCTAATCGGCTAAAGCGATCCTATAAACGTTCACCCAATTCAAACCACCCGGGAGTAAAAAAGTTTTATTGTTCGTTGTATTTTCATTTCACAGTGAATTCTTAGAAACTAAAGTTCTTTTTCCCACAGAATTTAAGTTGGGTGGTAACGTACATGGCAACGCGTTAGCCGATTAGGTCTTTTATTTTTATCATGTATGAACATTCAGGGTATCATTCTTCAAGTACTGACCTCTGTATTTTGTGTGAAGACTTTTTCATACCTTTCCTCCTTTATCTATTATGGTTTTTATTTCTGTTCTCTATCCAGGTGTATTTTGGATCGARTGGGAAACACTGATGCATTTTTTTGATGTTGTGTACATGAACTGGAATCCGAAACTCTTTAAACATCGTTACACCACGCATGCGTAAGTACGGAGAGTTCTGTTTGTCCACACGATGCCGGAAATCTTTATATCTATATTTTTTGTCGGATGCAGAAAAGTATCGCGTCCACACAGCTGTATTGGGACCGTTTTCTGCCATCTTCACTCTGAAGACCGTTTGGTTGGAYGCAATTTGGAATCGTAAAAAAAAYTGCGGATATGAACATTTTCGTCGTCGTGTGGACAAGGCCCTTTGTATCAGAACAGAAGTATATGTACTCTGATGATACCCTTCTGCCACATCAATGCTATATTGCTTCAATCTTGTCTTACCATTCATTCGCATGGACATATATTTTCAAAGCAGCAAAAAGTCTTAAACCCTATTTGTGAAAATGTTCATTTATAGCCTGGGTTGGAGAGAAACCTCCATTCTTTTGCCCTTTGTAGGCGGTTTAGGACATCTAAACTCTATTAGCASACAAAATGACGGAAATTTTGAATATTACTAACAAAGTTTTTTTTTCGGGTGTAAACATTTTCTTGTCGACAAGTACGCGTTTTGGAATTTTTTAATGCTAGTATATCCAGTGTAAAGAACATTTTTCGAATCCAGTTCGATTTTACGGATACAGGGAACCCACAAATAGCCGAAACACTTGTGACCGACAAATAGTCACGACAATAGCGTGACAAGACTTCTCGGAAAAGCCATTTCAGACAATATCTCTTCTCGGAACACGGTTAAGCTTCGCTCATACTTCATCTAAGATGGAGTCATTCCTCGAGGATCTAAAACTTCAAGTCCAGTGTTCACTGTGTAATGRGACTATGTTTGAACCTAAGTTGTTACAATGTTTTCATACTTTCTGTAAGACTTGTATCAAGACAAATGCACAACTTGATGGTCAAGTCAACATCTTCAAGTGTCCTCAATGTACCTCGTTAACCGAGCTACAGGAACTCAACGAAGTAGAAGACTTAGAAATCAGTCCCATTCATTCAAGAATCCTTCAAGTGTTGTCATTTATTGAAAACCAGAAAGTTTGTTCGGTTTCTGCCAGTCATAGCGAAGCAACGTTTCAATGTCTCGACTGTGATCGGTCGTTGTGTGACGAATGTCTGAACARTCATTCTATATTTATCAAAGATCACAGAGTTATTTCATTGTCTGAAATGACAAAGGAAGACATTCAATCCATGCTGAAAAAGGAAACTCAGTCTTGCAAATCCCATGTCAATCAAGATGTTAAATTGCACTGCAGTGATTGTAACGAGCTGATCTGCCCGATTTGCTGGATAGATCATCATCATCACAGCCACAAGACTACATCGCTACAGGAGTTCATCGCTTCTCAGAAAGATTCTGTGTCTAAAAACCTCGARGAAATCGCGAAAATGGACATAAACGAGAATGAGAAGAAAAAGCAAGAACAAATTGCTGTTGACATCAAACGTGACGGACAAAAAGCTCTTGAAGAAGTCAAGAGACTAACACAACAGCTGAAGAAAGAACTCGACGATAACAAGGAAGAACTTTTGAATACCATCCAGAAGAGCATAACGAAGGCCGACAGGAATTTACGCATAATACGTCACTCCCCAGCAGCACAAGAATACATGAAATACTTCATTCAAAATGGAACAGCAAGTGAAATCATTGCCCTCCGTTCAGACACGGAATGTTTGAAATCATTCACATGTACYTACATTGCCTTTGAAAACGACTTGGGTGGGATAAAATTTCATCCAAATGAAGAACTTTGCGAGCAAGTAGATTCTGGTGTAGGGGTGATACAATCTTTCAAAAGAGCAGACCCAAACAACAGCTCACTAGAAGCAATAGGGGAAAATGGGTTCGGCGATCAGTCTCATCGGCGAAAGTGGCGGATACCGCCATGAAGAATGCAACTTTGAAAGTGACACTTAAAACATGTAAAGGTGAAGTGTGTGACCCCCAACTAGATGACGTAACAATACACATCACTCCTGAGGATGACGTCAAAGTTGGCAAGAAACAAGTGRCAGCTGATGGCCAAATCAAAGTAACCTTCACACCTTGTTTTCCTGGTCAGTTTACAGCAGAGGTTCAAGTACATGGAAATCCTGTATCCAACAGTCCACTAGTGATGGATGTCAAACCACAGCACATTATTGAAGTGACCACAAATTCTAAGCTGAAAAAAGCATTGAATACTGGATCGAAGAACTTTGCAGGTATTGCAGTAAACAAATCAAACACCAAGATTGCTGTAGCAGACTTCGAGMGTTGTTGTATCAGAGTGTTCAATATGGAAGGGGATTTGTTATTGTCATGGTATGGCATTAAAGGTAGACGACAAGTACAGCTGAAAGGTCCACTGGGATTAGCATTTCTGAATGAAACAGATTTAGTCATAGCTGATTGCTACAACCATAGAATATGCATAGTGGACACAACCACTGATAAGCTTGTTAGAACCTTTGGTTGTCAAGGCAACATGAATGGACAGTTTAGTAGGCACCCCCGGGGAGTACATGTTCATGGCGATTTTAACATCATTGTTTGTGATAAAAGTAATCGTGTCCAGGTGTTCACAGAAAATGGTGACTATCTTTGTCAGTTCACAGTACCTGGAGGAAAACTTCCATGGGATGTAGTTACACACAATGGACTGTTGTATGTTAGTACAGAAGAATCAGTGGTGCATGTGATAAAGATGACAGACAACCTGTCACCAACTACCGTTACCTCTATTGGTGGCGAGGACTACACAGATGGTCGGCTACATTCCCCTACTGGTCTAGCTATTGACAATGACAACAATCTTCTRGTGTGTCATTATGGATCAAGGGAAGTTTACAAGTTTACTTTGGATGGTCGCTTGGTAGGAAAGACCGACACACTGAGTGGTTATCCTAACCGTTTAACAATATTAAGTGATGGTCAGATCATTAGTACTACTTGGAGTGGAGTGCACTTTTTTAAATAATTAAGCTAATACCTCCATGTATCATCATTATTTTTCAGAAACTCAGTTGGTTGTTGTAATCTTGGTGAATTTGCAAGATGTCTTTCTGCATTATTTTAGGATTCGAGTAGAGTCCAATTTGTCATTCAATTTTTACAGCACCGTTCAGTAATACAAAATACTGCAATATTCTACTACATCTACATCTATCTTTATCATCCTTAAAACCATAGGTATCACTAGGATATTCATCTATGTACAAGTAGGCAGTCTTGAAAAGCAGTCAGACAAGCGAGAGTCGAAACGACTATGGTCGCATGATTTTGAAAAGAGCATGGTTGTAACTCATATTGCAGTTTAAAATTGGTCAGTTATTGTTATTATTATTGATATTCATCACAATTCCAAAGCTTTCATTCAGAGGCACATAAAGTATCTTGAAAACCTTTATAACTAATAAAATACTTGTTGTTTCCGTTACTAATGTTAGCAATTCTAAAGCCTTCCGCATTGAATTTGTGATTAATAGTTTAGGTTMAATAACAAAAAGTTTTGGTTGGGTGGGGGGTGAAGCATGCAAGCAGGTTTTCGTTCCTTCCTAGCCCCAGCCCACTTCATTCTCCTTGTTCGAGGTCTRGCTCGTCCACAGTCGTCTCTTAACTGTACTTCTGATCAAACTGACATTTCACTTGTACGCGTTAAACAACGCGTCTCCATCGCAGCCTATCTATGTCTTTCGAGAGAGCAGGAAGCATTTAGCAATTGACAAATGCGACGTTTTACCACTGGCAACGTGTAGTGATTATCATTGTTTATCGTATTGTAGAACTTGGGAAGCCAAAGAAGGACCGGTGAAAGACGCATATAACATTGGTTAGTATGGCTGAAAACCATATTGGACTAAATATCTATCGTGAGAGTCGTAAAAATTACTTGTCAAGGCACGACTCGTTCCCAGTCGTTTCTCTCTCCTTCCCTTGCGAGAGAGAGAGGTACGACTGGGGACAAGTTAGTTTCAAAGCTGATTCTGTGTATTTCATTTATACAGGTGACAACCCTCAGTACAAACTTGCAGTCAACTCGAAAGCGGACAGTGTAGTGTGGATCCTATTAATAAGACATATCACTCAAAAGGTACTCAAGCTGTGGGTTTTGATGCCATTGTTATCATGCGTACTATTAATTTTTTGACTGTAATAAAGCGTGTTGTATTATTGCCTTCTGAGTGCTTTTTTGCTAACTCTTCTCGTCAGTAGGAGTGACGTTTAGTTTTATATATTTCTATAGGATGACTTCGCTGTGAACAAAGAGTTCATCACTGTTCATGTTTACAAGTCAGATGGGAAGCGAATCTACTATCCTGGTAAAATAAAAACAACAAACAAACAAAAATAAACGCAATAAACGCAAAAAAAACAACAACAACAGCAACAAACAAAAAAAACTCATCTGATATTAGTTTAAAGTCCCTTGTGCACCCAAGAACCTCTGACACCGTGTCTTTTCTTCTGATCTCTTGTTGAAAGGTTCTCTCTAGTTGGTTCAAAATCAAAGATGGCGAGTTTTCGTATGTTAAAAAAATCGCGCAAAGGTTCATGGGTGCACGAGTACCTTTAAATGAACATGACGTCATTAGTTGAGATGAACATTTTATAATACGCTGTATGACCAAAAGAATATATGCAAGAGTATGGAATAATGTGCGTTTAACCAAATAAGGCTGGCTCCTTTGTTTTGAAACGTCGATCCAAAACTGATTTGTTGTTATTTTTAAGGTGACCCTTACCTGGAAGGGACGAAGATCAATAGCCCATTTTATTTGGCCAAGTTGAACGTGCCTGCAGGAAAAAATATGTTTAACCTGATTGTATCACAGTATGAGAAAACCAACACCATCCACTACACTCTTAGGGTAGGTTTTGGTGTAGCTAGAATGGATGCTCTTGGGAGGGGAGGGTGGTAGGATATGTTGCATCGGATGAAAACATTGAACATTATGGCTTTCAGGTCTTTTCGTCCAATGAATTCCAACTTTCTCCTGTTGCGGATCCTTACAAGTTCGAACAGAAGGTAAGTTTCAAAATTTCCGCGGACAATCGACAGAATCCCCTGCCACTAACGAGACTGCCCTAGGAGATATAACCAAACCTGCTTTGTTTAAGGTGAACGGCAGCTGGACATCAGCGACCGCGGGCGGCTGTCCAAACTATTCTACACATACAAAAAACCCCGTATACAGCCTTGACTTAAGACCAGCTATTACATCAAACCCTGCAGAAGTTGTTATAAAGCTACTTGCTCCCAAGTGAGTAATGTCCTTTTAATGCATAGTTTTTGATGAAATGCCTTGTTTTCTTTAGTATGGAAAACTTATTATCCTTGCATAACTACGGCTCCTTTATTAATTTAGGCAATTTTCTGTTGGTGTTATGATGAGGTCTGTGGAGAAAACGGGGTCTGGTAAACCTGTTTTTGAAGCTCTCTCGGATTGTTACAGGTATATGTCTTTTCGGTTTTACTTTCTGTTCATTTTGAAGTGTTAAAAATTGTCAAAATTCTTGGTCCGCCTTTTCACTGCATAACTTTTGTCTCTGACGGTCAAATGAACCTTACATCATTCCTGTTCGATCCTGTCGTCGTTTAATAATAGTAAAAAACAGTTCCCTTAGTTCTTCTGTATTACTTGTTATCATGAGTGAAACCTTTGCTTCATTTCAGGCCTGGCTTTTTTGTGAACCAACTGTCCAATGTACCTGCAGGCTCATATCAGTTAGTTCCATCGACTTTTCTACCAAATCAAGAAGGACCCTTCTTCTTGTCTGTCGGCGCAAGCTGCAAATTCTCCTTGAAGAAATTATGACGAAGGACGAGTGGACTTTTGACTCCTAGTCCACTTCGTCGAGAGGTCTAATTTGTTTGGTTTAAAATTACTGCAAAACAGAAGAGTTGCGATTCTCACTGAATTTCTTATCGGTATGCGGAAAAATCACAAGATGTGTTTCATCATAATGGCGGGCATATTGTTTTTTTTTCAGTGCTGTGATGACCGCAGGAAAGTCGTTGAATTAGCCAATCGAATAGCCGACTTGCGAATTACGCATCAATAGTCACATACAAAGGAATCAAGACGGCGCCTCGTCTTGATTCCTTTGTATGTGACTATTGATGCGTAATTCGCAAGTCGGCTATTAGACTTATTCAAACCGATTTCATAACACAAAAGAGCTCTCTCGTTTCATATACATCGGAAACCCAGGGGCTTTTGAATAATGGCCGGGGAATAGTTCCCACAACTCATCGCTCTCGTCAATCCACTTGCCTTGGCTCTAATCCAAAAAACCCTGGTTTTGTGCGGCTCAAATCCTGGTTTTTAGACGCGTGTAACCTTCGTTTTACGTCTCTGGCTTCTTCACTAGTGAAAAASATACCAAGATACACAAATCGGAATACCGCAGGAACAAGTCGTATCGAAATGATAAAATGATATTTGGTTTCTAAATCAAGCCAACAAAAGTGGTCATTACAGATACAAGGTCACTTTAAATACATACAAGAAATAGAATAAATTATAAATTTTGTAATAATATAAAGTATCAAAAAAGTTGTGATAGAAAAAAGTAGTACATTCTTGGTAAATTAAAACATTCACCCTAAAGGACTCAGTAATGTCCGAAACGTCAGTAAGACCGATATTCCTCACGCTTTTTATTATGGGATGGTGCAAAATATATTTTATTTTACAATGTTGTTTGGAATGTTTTCCGATCGCGATGGTTGGTCAGTTGGCGACAGTTCGTCGCGGCTAAATATAAACTACATTTCGGTTGATTCACTTATTGAGCTTGTCCATCAGAATTTCTAACTTTACTGTCTTAGTAAATTATTTTAAAGCAAGAATCTAAGGTAATATATCGMGATAAAAAACATTTCACTTCCAGCGGCATTTGTTTCTATTTCAAGAACCAATCAAAATTCGCAGAAAATTCCGCTTCCCTAGAGTATTACGTTTTCGGCGCTGGCCAGGTAAATGAAGGCGCGGGGTACGAAATTGGTAATTATGCTTAAGAGTGAGCCGACGTAAACTTGCTAAATAAACTGCTGATGTTTTCTCATAGATGGCTTGTGAAACTATAATTACTATCCGATTTACATTTAGATTATGGATAAAATGCTTTATCTTTAGCGTGATTATCCATAACTGACTTGTTGTCACATATAATAAGAACATGCAAATACCGAAAGGTGTAAACAGCCTTTTTAAAGCAGAACACAACACAACTGCGTCATTACCTATCAATCACGCTATTTATTKCTTGTATTACTCAAAGGTTGCCTCAATTTTCAGTCTGCTGTTTGTTGTTGTTGTTGATGAGTTTTGAAGAGTTCCAGTCTGTTCACTTTTAACTGTTCAATTCAAGGAAAAGACATTTGATAATGTATGTTATGCAATCCAGGACTTCGCTGATATCTTTGTGTATAATCCTTCATTTAGGTAGGTCGATTATTGATTTGATTTTTTTTTCAATCTGAAAACGTTTCATGCAAAACTGACGAACAATTGTTACTTGCCCCTCCTATTGCATCACTAAACAAGAACTAGTGCACTGGTTCGGATATTTTGAACTTCTCTATTTATGATATATTTTTAAGCATTTCTCTTCATCTGTACCTYCGCAAACACTAAAATTTTGTGACTCTCACGTGGTACACTCTCCACCAATATAAGATACTAGGAAAAGTGAACGTTGACACTTGATATATAATAAAGTCAGTTGTCTTTCAGCTTTAGATGGACGGTTTTTGTTTCACTTAGTGGCCTTTATTACTGATTTGTTGTTGAAAGAAATGTAAACAAATGCAAATTACAATATACAAAATCATGGCATCTTTATTGTATTCATGGAACAACAAAAACTCTCATTTCGTTTCGAAATGGTAAAATATCGTAGTATCTTTCTTAGTAATTCATTAGTGTCATGTTTTAGTTATGTCTTCTCACTGTCGGGCATAACATATTGCCCCCCAAAAACTGGAAACGCTCAGGAAGGATATGTTTATTTTTCTCATATTTCTAATCGAAACTCTAAAAATTACTTACCTATAGACGGAGCAGCAGATAAGAAATCAGATCATATTATAAATGAAAATTACAGATTCCTGACCTTGAAATTATTGCTGAATATCAGTGAAAAATTCTCATGATTTCGCCAGATTTTAATTTTAGCAGCTAGTTTGTGAATGAAACACCAACCCTCAGCAGTATTGATGTATAGTTTGTATTGAACAATAGTCATAAGATGCAAAAATAAACAAATAAGCGACGACTTCTAYGTAATATTGAAAACGTTTTAACTGATGTCATGAAAACCTGAATCAAAGCAACTTTTCACCTGTGCTTTTGCAACTCATTTTATCACAATCTCCCTTTTGACTCGATCTCACATCAGTAAAAACGTATATAATGTGGGACTTCCCACATATGTCAGCATTTTAAAGAGATTCCTCTAGGCGACTAATTCGTTTCTGAACACTTTCAATTAGTTAATGATTCACAAAGCACAAGTGCGGAATTCTCATACGATCAGGAATCTCGTTTGCGCCAAATTTTATCACTTTGTCTCTGTGGCTCGGTATGAACATCTCAGTGATTTGACTTAACAGTGAGATTCCGCGATGTTTTCTAATGCACTTGAATTCCACTCGAATTGTCCAAGAACTTTAGTCTACAATTGGCCTTAGAGAGCCAGAGAGAGCTGAAAGTATCATTGGTCATATTTTAGTTTCTAATGATGATATATAGTTCTAGTCCATACATTTAAAAACGCGTTACTGGTCTTCAAAACTAATGTCCTCGCACACGAAGGAATCGGCCCTCTCTTTTTTTTCTTTAAGGGGTTCGAGTGCCATCACTGTCGGTTTTTTTTTTGATGTAATATCCTTATATAGACCCCCAAAAAAGTAGCGCTCAAAATGAGAAGGAATACCCTGCGAGCAGAGTGTATTTCCTTACCTCAATAAAAATTCGCGAAGGAAAATAACATTTTCCTTCGCGAATTTTTATTGAGGTAAGGAAATACACTCTGCTCGCAGGGTAGAGAAGGAATAATATCATGCCAAATTAAAATCGTTGTAGCGAATCAACCTCGTTCCAGGGATGTCTGTRAAAGAAAGAGGATGAGACCGAAAGGTTACATGGGTATGAAAATAGTCCACTTATCGAAAATGTAATCTCACCACATGAAAGACCACATTTCAATTAGTGGTTTTGTCAAGTTTGAGATTATTTAGTTGTATACTCACCGAGAAAGATTTTTAGTTTTTTCAAATTTGCAAAAATAAGCGAGAATGAGAGCTTGATACATATTCTTGGTTATTTTTTCGAGATTTGCACACTTGCAAATCTGTTATTATTCATTCCGAATACAGCCAAACGTGCTCTCATTTGTCTTGGCATCTGTGTTTTGATTGCTTCAAACTGTATCGAGTTTGTGACTGGTCACCAGTCCTTTTCTGAATTTCGGAATGGYCAATAGTATGTATGCTTGATCACAGTCATGTGACAAACGGACAGAAGTCATCTAGAATATTAACTTTGATATAAAAATAGCTTTAAAATGGTTAATTTTATTGCATTATATAAAGAATACAATTCGTTTCTTATTTTAACATGATAGTTCATCAATATCTCCCTACTCGCGAACAATGTTGTTTACATGGCAACCATTTGTGTTTGCATCACATCAAGGTTTTTACATGGCAACCACTTTTAGTTTATATAATGTTTGCTTGGATACGTGAGCAAAGTCAATTCTAAGTAAATTTAGTCGACTAAATTTCTTAACATGTATTTATAATATTTTTACCGAATATTATTGAATTAAACAAACACGAAACGAAATAATGAATCGTACTCTTACGGTGTTTTTTTAACTCGTGTCCCTTTTTCGACCAGGTACTGTAAAATTCTGTCATATTTCTGTTACTCTTAGACAAATGGCACAGCTCGCACTAGGTTACCGCTAGTTCTTCCCATCAATCGGCAGCCATTAGACCATTGTATAGTGTATAGTGTTTTAGGTGTAGTTTTTCTACCCTGGTTCATTCAATCGCTATCACACTGGGGATACTAGTTTCCYTGTATGTCTTGCTCAGTTTGTGAATTCGCACGACTCTCAAGCCCTCGACATGCCTAAACACTTGCATCTGATTGCAGTGAAATATTTTCATGCCCTTGTCCGTTGAATGAATTCGGTAAACTTGTACTGAACCATGACACTCTTTTGCTGTCCTCGAAATGTTTTCTTTGAAAGCAGAAGGAAGTTCTGGCAGGTTTGGTGTCTTTCGGGAGTTTCCTCGGTTATTGGACTGGTGTAAGTCAACCTTCTTAAGTTTTTTTCGCTTGAAAAAGCAGAATAAGCTCATCTTCTGAAATTCCTTTTGTCGTTTTGAACTGGACAAAAATGATAGTGTAACTGGCWGCGTTGTCAAACCACATTCAATATATTCATGATGCCCTTTCGTTGGATAACGGTCATTGGTTCGGAGTCAGCTCCTCTGTGATTGGCTTGTCTATTTTTAGACTATTTTCTTATCAAATTGACTAATTTAAACAGTACATCCCTCATTTATTACGTCATTTGTCATTTGCTATTTGCAAAATCACCAGACAAATATCACGAATGCTATCTTTCGGTGTATTGACTGTAAAATAAATGTATAGACTGCAATTGGTTGAAACTGAATATAACGTCATGTGACGTCAAGAATGACGTCATTCACATCATGTAACRTCCTWCACATAATCGTGGCAAAGTTTCGATCTAGATTTATAAAGTTCGGGGGTTGACATCCCTGTTTATGTGCAAGCTAATGTTCAGCACTGTTTGTTGAGGCATCGATAATTTTGTCGATTTATTTTTCATTTATCAAAGTAAACAAAAACCTCATTTTTTCAGGTTGCTGACACAAAAGTGGAATTTTTGACAATTTTTGTTGTAAAACATTGTCATCTACTTTCCTTCTTTTCAAAAACAGCATGTGCGTCGTCGTGCCCAGCGAAATGTGAGCCTGTGAACACGCCTGTCTGCGGTAGTGATGACAAGACTTATCGAAACGTGTGTTCAATGCTGCACAGGAATTGCAATAACAGAAACGTCGTGAGAGTGAAGCATTTTGGGAAATGTTCCAGAGACACTAACGATAACAGGTCAGTTAGTATATTTTTTTCGACTCGAGCCAGAGTTTTCACTTGTCAGSGGTTTTCGAYACCGATTTTTTCTCTGTTTGTTTAGATTGTTTCGCGTGGTATAGACCTTTGATTTTTTTGTAATTTTAAAGTTGATTTTATTCTCTTTTCAGTGGTGAAAATTGTCTACGCATTGGGAGAAGGAGATACCTCAAGTGCTGAATCTTAATCGGCAATATCATCATTATTATCACGATAATCATCATCAATAGAGTGGACATACTAAATCCGTGAAACAAATAGTACTAATTAATAATAAATAGTGTTAATTAGACAATAAAATACAAAGGAGTTCAGCTTA